TGTGATGCTGTGTAGTAAAGGCAGTTACTTTCCAATAGGTTTTGATTGTGTCAGATTATGGAGGTTTAGATCAGGGTCAACGTGATCAATCATCTTCTAGGTTTAAATTATGGTTATTTATATCCTGAGTTGTGTGTTGAGTTTTAGTACTGATATCTGTAGTGGTGGGAAGTTTGGACAAGTATATAGCTATAGCATTTTGGTCATGTAGAGTATAGTCACTAATACACATAATGGAGTTAGTGTTGTCTATGTGTTGTGCTGGAATGAGCTAAAGTACAACTAGGTATAAACTAATAATATAAAAATACAAATTAAAAATAGCACCAGACTCTCACTAGTAATTACACTATGGTCTAATATAATGAATTTGGTACTGACTATGTATTGAGCTAGAATGAGCTATAGTACAACCGAGTTTAATCTAATGATATAAAAAAGACACAAGACTCTCAATTGTAATTGCACTAAGGTGTTATATAAGTTGTTTACAAGAATTAGAGTATAACTAGATTTAAATTGACCGTTGGGGTCCTCAATTATGTCCCCCAGGATGCGACCCATACCAGTCGACTAACACCCAGGTACCTACTTGCTTGCTAGGTGAATAGGACAACACTCAGTGTGTGAAGCAAGAGCGTTGCCTACCAGGCAGCGAGCCGCCGTATGATCAGCAGGCCACAGGAATTTCAGCTCATCCCGGATTTATTGCATGTTAAGCAAAGATGCTGAAATATTGCTGCACACTAACAGCACCTTTCAAGGCAGGTGAAATTGCTGACCTAGAAAATGTATAGAGAACCTTCACAGCGCTCATAACTGAGATAAAACACCTCAATTACTGGGAGCGCTTGAAGTTCCTGATCCTGTACTCCCTGGAACGCAGGCGGGAGAGATACGTGATTATATACACCTGGAAAATCCTAGAGGGACTAGTACCAAGCTTTCACGCGAAAATCACTCACTACGAAAGCAAAAGACTCGGCAACGATGCAACATCCCCCCAATGAGAGAGCCACAAAATTTGGTTAACACAAGCCTATCCGATGTTATCCTGACGCCAAATGACTTCGAACAGGCGATAAATGACATGCCCATGCACTCTGCCCCAGGGCCAGACTCATGGAACTCCGTGTTTATCAAGAACTGCAAGAAGCCCCTATCACCAGCCTTTTTTCCATCCTAGGAGAGGGAGCATGGACACGGGGGGTCGTCCCACAGTTACTAAAAACAACAGACATAGCCCCACTCCACAAAGGGGGCAGTAAAGCAACAGCAAAGAACTACAGACCGATAGCACTAACATCCCATATCATAAAAATCTTTGAAAGGGTCCTAAGAAGCAAGTTTACCACCCATCTAGAAACCCATCAGATACACAACCCAGGGCAACATGGGTTTAGAACAGGTCGCTCTCCCGTCTGTCTCAACTATTGGATCACTACGACAAGGTCCTAGATCCACTAGAAGACAAAAAAAAATGCAGATGTAATATATACAGACTTTGCAAAAGCCTTCGACAAGTGTGACCATGCGGTAATAGCGCACAAATGCGTGCTAAAGGAATAACAGGAAAAGTCGGTCGATGGATCTATAATTTCCTTACTAACAGAACACAGAGAGATAGTCGTGTCAACAGAGTTATAGTCCGAGGCTGCTACGGTGAAAAGTCTGTTCCACAAGGCACAGTACTCGTCCATCTTGTTCCTCATATCATATCCGACATAGACAAGGATGTCAGCCACAGACGTGTCTTCCTTTGCAGATGACCCGAATCTGCATGACAGAGTTTCCATTGCAGACACTGCAAGGCTCCAGGGGACATCATCAAACCGAATCTCTTGTGGGCTGCTGAAAGATAACAATATGAAGTTCACGAGAGAAATTTCAATTTACTCAGATATGGTAACTCGAGGAAATTAAATTTTAATCAGAGTACAAAACAATTCTGGCCACCAAAATAGAGCGAAACACCAACGTTAAAGACCTGGGAGTGATTCATGTCGGTGATCTCACTTCAAGGACCATACCATTGTATCAATCTATTGCTAGAAAAATGACAGGATGGATAATGAGAACCTTCAAAACCTAGGGAGGCCAAGCCCTGATGACACTCTTCAGGTCACTTGTTCGATTAGGCTGGAATAATGCTGCACACTAACAGCACCTTTCAAGGCAGGTGAAATTGCTGACCTAGAAAATGTACAGGAACTTCACGGTGCGCATTCAAGGTGTAATACACCTCAATTTAATGGGAGCGCTTGAGGTCCTAAACCTGTATTCCCTGGCACGCAGGCGGGAGTGATACTTGATTATATACACTGGAAAATTCCTGAGGACTAGTACGAAACTTGCACAACGAAAAATCACTCACTTTGAAAGCAAAAGACTTGGAAGACGATTGACACATCCCCAATGAAAGCAGGGGTGTCACTAGCACGTTAAAGAGACCATACAATTAAGTGTCAGGGGCCCGAGACCTGTTCAATCTGCTCCAAGCATTACATAAGGGGGGATTACCAACAGACCCATGGCAGTCTTCAATGCTGGCCTGACAAGTACCCTAAAAAAAGTCGGTTCCTGACCAGCCGGGCTGTGGCTGTACGTTGGTTTGCGTGCAGCCAGCAGAAACAGCTGGTTGATCAGGGCTCTGATCCACAGGAGGCCTGGTCACAGGACCGGGCGCGGGGGCGTTGACCCCGGAACTCTTTCAGGTTACACTCCAGGGGTGTCACTAGCACAGTTAGAGAAACATAATAAGTGTCAGGGGGCCCAAGACTGTTCAACTGCCTCAAGCATACATAAGGGAGATTACCAATAGACCCCTGGCAGTCTTTCAAGCAGGCACTGGACAAGCACCTAAAGTCAGTACCTGACCAGCCGGGCTGTGGTGGACTGCGTGCAGCCAGCAGTAACAGCCTGGTTGATCAGGCTCTTTAATCCACATTTGAGATCAGAAATTACTTAAAATTAACTTCGGGAATCTGTATAATGTCCACCATTATTGTACAAGCGAGCGGCCCATGTACTTTCGCATGCTATTTCATTACTTTTTAACAAGTCACTAGAGACTAGCACCTTCAGAAACTACTCATGATGGCAAGGGTCACCAATACATAAATGGTGGTGACCCTTCAGACTTAAACAAACTATAGGACAATATCTACTTACCTTTGCTATCCAAATTCTTTGAGAAAACTCGTGCACAGGAGGACTGTATTCATTTTTTAACGCTCAAACATAACTCAACCCCTGCCAGTTTGGATTTCAGAAAAATAAATGCACTAAATGATGAAATCTAAAATGCTAGATCTTTTTTTTTACACAGCATGGAAAATAAGGAATAACATCCACTAGGATTTTTTTATAGACCTAAGAAAAGCTTTTGACACTGGTAAACCCACGGAATCCTACTCCACAAACTTGACCACTTACGGTATAAGGAGGCATGCGCTTGCTTATTTCAAATCTTACATTACTTATAGGTATCTGTACGTCACCATTAAAGACACAGCATCAGCACACACGGCCACTGATACTGGAGTTCAGCATGAAGGAAGTTGTTCCTTGTCCCAGCTCTTCTCATATACTTCAATGACCCTTCCAAACGCTACCCAACTCTGAAACTCCATTCTCTTTGCTGATGACACGACTTATGTCATCTCTCCCTGAATCTTGCACCCCTCAACACCATTTGTGAATGAGGAGCTGATTAAAATATCGGACTTGGTATGACATGCCAATAATTACGCTTAAACACTGACAAAAACTTACTATATTTGTTTGGTAGCAGAGCAGGAGATGCACAAAAATTAAACATTAGATTGTCAACACTCCTAATTACCAGAAATAATGGGGGAAAATTCCTAGGCTTATACCTTGACAACAACTGATATTTCAGGCGCCATATCAGGCATATGCCAAAAAAGTATCCAAACGGTTGGGATCTCTCCAGACGATACTTACGTGCCGCAATATGCCCTTTCTCACACTATACCCCTCACTTATTTATCCATACCTCACTTATGATATTTGTGTTGGGATCCAACTGCAGCCCATCTCACTTAAATCCAATAATAACCAACAAAAAAGCGGCAGTAAGAATAATTCACTAATTCCCATCCCTAGGCAAGAACAACCCCCCCACTATTCAAAGATCTAAACTTACTCCAAGTTCAGTACATCCACACTTACTACTGTGCAATCTATATCTACAGGGGCCTTTAACTCTAATATCAACCATGACTAAAACGCTTTCTTGATAGTTGTGACAGAACCACTGGCATAACACCAGATACAAACATCTCTACGACATTTCCCCGTGTCCGACTACACCTTTACAAAAAATTTCAATGTATGTAAAAGGGGCCTAAATTGGAATACCCTACTGAGAAACTCTAGAACTGACAGACACCTTCATCACCTTCAAAACTACCATTGAAAACAACTTATCTCCCTGTACAACCCCGTTCAACTAACTACACGAATACCACCTGGTGGTTAACACTTACACTCGCTCAATCATTTGACCATAAAAACAGAAATTATTAATCTCAGTCTTAAAATAATGAATCTGTGATACTCAATACTGAAACTATATACTGTGCCAAAACAAAAGATTAACATTGCTAAACTCCACAAACTAGTATTTAGTCACTTAGCCATAATACCAACTTACCTCATAATTTGTAATATTTTACAATTAAGAATAAAACTAAGTATGCCCGAAATGCCTAGCCATGCTAAGCGTTCTAGTGGTACACTCTGTAATCACAATTTTACTACATGTAAACCAAATAATAACCAAATTTCTGTAAACTCAGCATTGTAATCCTTATAGAGAATAAACTTTGAATTTGAATTTGAATTTGAACCATGAGGCCTGGTCACAGACACAGGACACAGACACAGACCGGGCCCCCGCGGCCCGGTCTGTCTCTCCAGGTAAACTGGGACACAGGAATAGAACAAAAGCTAACATATTTGTATTGTCTCGACAGGTCTTTCTTCCGGAGACGGTATTTTTTTGGCCGACAATAAGCTGACGGTGCTGGAAGAGGTAGTGTGGCGGCCGCTGCTGGAGGATGGTGTGCAGTTATTCCTGATGGGTGAGTCAGCAGTGTCTTTGTTGCTTTCTTTGGAAAGGAAGGGATCTATCTTGCTGGTGAAGGGTTCTTGTCTCAACTGTAGTTACATTCCCTTTCGACCAAACCTGATTACCTCCGCATCTCGAAGCACTGAATGATCATTACTTTCTAAAGGACAGCGCCTTGATATTAGGAACTTCTCTTTCTCGGATCAAGCCCGATTACCCTCCCATTCCCATGATACTGTATTACTCTTACAAGTTTAACATTTTCCTATAAATAATAATAATCCTCTTTTTTTTTTTTCTTTTTGCTGCACTCATAACTAAAAAACTCCATTTTTTCCCCATACAGGCACACCGATTCCTTCTCTGAATTTTCCTCACAGGTGTTTACCTGGAGTTTACCTGGAGTTTACCTGGAGAGAGTTCCGGGGGTCAACGCCCCCGCGGCTCGGTCTGTGACCAGGCATCTGGTGGATCAGTGGCCTGATCAACCAGGCTGCTTACTGTGGCTGCCACGCAAACAAGTACGAGCCACAGCCCGTGCTGATCAGGAAAACCGACTTGAGGTGCTTGTCCAGTGCCTGCTTGAGACTGCCGGTGTTGTTGGTAATCCCCTTATGTGTGCTTGGGAAGGCAGTTTTGTACAGTTCGGGCCCCGACACCATTGTTCTGGTCTCTCTAACGTTGCTAGGGACACCCCTGCTTTTATTGGGGGGGATGTTGCATCGTCTGCCAAGTCTTTTGCTTTCGTAATGAGTGATTTTTTCGTGAGAAGTTCGGTACTGTCCTTAGGATTTTCCAGGTGTTAATATAATCATGTAATCTCTCCCGCCTGCATTCCAGGGAATTCAGGTTTAGGAACATTCAAGCGCTCCCAGTTGGTGATTCTGAGGTGTTTTATCTCCGTTTTGCGCACGTGAATGTTCTCTGTAATTTTCTAGGTCAGCAATTTCACCTGCCTTGAAAGGTGCTGTTAGTGTGCAGCAAATATTCAAGCTAGATAGAAACAACTGACTGGAAGAATGTCATCATGGGCTTGGCCTCCACTAGTTATGAAGGTTCTCATTAGCATCTGTCATTATTCTTGCAGGTGCGATTGATACAATGTTCTGGTCCTTGAGGTGAGATCTCGATTGATCACTCCCAGGTCTTTGTCGTTGGTGTTTCGCTCTATTTTTGTGGCCAGATATTTGTTTTGATACTCTGATGAAGATTTAATTTCTCATGTTTACCATATATGAGTAATTGAAATTTTCTCATCGTTGAACTTCATATTGTTTTTCTGCAGACACTGAAGATTTGGTTGATGTCCGCCTGCCTGGAGCCTTGCAGTGTCTGCAAATGGAAAGACAACTGTTCATGCAGATTAGGGTGTTATCTGCAAAGGAAGACACGGTGCTGTGGCGGACATCCTGTCTATGTCTGATATGAGTTGAGGAACAAGATGGGAGCGAGTACTGTGGCTTGTGGAACAGAGCTTGTCACCGTAGCTGCCTCGGACTTTACCTGTGGACGACTACTCTCTGGTGTTCTGTTAGTGAGGAAATTATAGATCCATCGACCGACTGTTCCTGTTATTCCTTTTAGCACGCATTTGTGCGCTTTTACGCCATGGTACACATCTGGCATTTTCCTTTTTGTTGTCTAGTGCATTTAGGACCTTGTCGTAGTGATCCATAGTTGTGGACAGACAGGAGCGACCTGTCTAAACCCATGTTGCCCCGTGTTGTGTAACTGTTGCGGTTTCTAGATGGGTAGTGATCTGTGCTTCTTAGGTCCCTTTACAAAGATTTTTATGGATATGGGTTGTTAGTGTTATTGGTCTGTAGGGTTCTTTGCTGTTGCTTGTACTGCCCCTTTGTGGTGAAGTGGGGCATTCTGTTGTTTTTGTAACTGTGGACGACCCGTGTCCATCGGGATCCTCTCCCACTAGGATGGAAAGGCTGGTGTAGGGGCTTCTTGCGTTCTTGATGAACACGGAGTTCCATGAGTCTGGCCCTGGAGCAGATGTGCATGGGCATGTCATTTATGCTGTTCGAAGTCCATGGCGTCGGATAAACATCTGGATTGGCTTATGTGTTAATCAAAATTTTGTGGCTCTCTCATAAAAAAATCATTTGATCTTCGGACTCTCAGTCTGGTTAGCGGCTTGCTTGAAAAACTGAGTCATATTGGACTTGAGTAGCTCATCATTTTCCTTGCTTGTCTGTCTGTGTAGACCCATTTGTTTTAAAAGTAGGGCCAATACTGGACGTTGTTCTCGATTTGATTTGGCATAGGAGAGAAAATACTCTTGGGTTTTCTTTCGTATTCTCATTTATGGCTTTTTGTTCTTTCCCGCGACTCTGACTCCTATAAGATTCCTTTTAGCTTAATGTTCGATGCTTGTTATTTCTCTGACCAGTGTCTCCCTACGCATTTCAGATATATTGACCTCTTTTAATATTCTAATATTAATTTAATCTTTACTGATTTTCTCAACTTAGCTCAGTTAGCAGTCTTCATTAACCTGTTCTTCCTTCACTGTTAAACTTAAGTCTTGTCCTGTTACCGAGGTAATGAAACAAGTCTCCCAATACTGCCCCTAAAACATCCTCTTCCCTAAGTAACTTAACATCTCCATACAGAGAAAACTTTAATTATGACACCATCTTTCTTGACCCAGTTACCAGTGTCATTTCTTATCAGAGTTTATTAAGGTTAAGATCTGTTGACTGCATGATGATCATTAATGCTACGATTCATCTGTGAACTGTCATGAAAAGTTCTGTAATCCAGTTCACCTGTGAACTGTCATGAAGAGTTCTGTAATCCATAAAATAGAGATTTAGGTGAAACGGCCGGTTGTTAAACTCAGAGATGCTCTTGGTGGATATTAACTCGGTTTACATATTAAAAGTATTTTCGTTTCCATGATGTTACATGTTGCACCATTAGCTCACACGTATTAAAAATGTGCTGAACAAGCCCTGCGTTATGCAAAGTGTTTTGGACAGACTAAAACCAGAACTTGCAATTACTGGGCATTCAATAGTTTGTTTTGATTTTTTGAATACTGTAAAATGTGTGTGTGTTTACAGGCACTCAAAGACAGACATCTCAATGTATATACATTATTATAATAATTGGGAGCCGCTAAACCAGGAGGATTATACAGCGCCTGTGGGGAGGTGGTAATGGAGGTATTCAGGCTCAATTCAGGGAACTGAAGCACAGATCCAATTCCCAAGATCAAGAGCCCCTCACCAGCATCAAGGAACCTCCCTTGAGGAGTCAATGTATATACAAAAATACCTCTCTGATTATAAACACATACACTCCTTCGGTACAGTTTATTAAAAGTTTACAACTAACTTTTTTAGCTATCAAAACTTTGCAGCAGAATCCCTGGATCCATTATGTGTCTGTTATCTTATGGCTACCACCCACAGGATGAGTAAAAGGTGCATAAAAAAGATATTAAACTAACATGTAACAGAATAGTGCCCAGCTACAGCAGTAATCTCTTCTACTACAGATAACCCCCTCATCTGTGGCTGCGATATCGCCTGGATTATGCTGAACGCCACCTTCCTCAGTCTCATCGCTGAGGACACCATGTGTGCCGACGGTCACCTCCTCGTGGACCTCGACCCGACCTTCTACCAAGATCACTGTTCAACAGCGCTGTTTTGATGCTAATGCGGTGTTCTCAATACAATCAGACTTGATGACTTCCCATGTCCGAGGCGCTGTGTGATGCCTCCTACGGTACCTAGTGTAACAGTTAACGTCCAACTAGAGTGAACAGCCTGCCTTGTGTCACACTAACCGTCACTCGTCAAACCTGTAGGGTTAATATCTTTATTATGCATCCCATACCCATCCTGTGAGTGGTAGTCAAAAGATCACAGAGGTATATAATGGGTCCAGGAACTGGGCCGCAAAATTTTGATAGCTGAACAAGTTACAGTGGTAATGAACTATCTACAGATTTATATCTAGTTACAATCGTGATAATTTACTTATGCAGGCAGGCTTATTATAGGTGGTTACATATATTTTAGCAATCGTGTATCGCGTTTATTTTTGTGTGGTGTGAAGCGATTGTGGGCACGAAGAGAAACTGATACACACCTCTTGATAAGTTGTCCACCTGCTGATAACGATATCTCTTGAGTACTTGGGGTAGATCGACGCTCTGGTTCCTATATATCAATTGTTCTCAGATATGTTTAATTTTATATCAAGCTACTCATGATTGCTAGATGCCAGAGTTTAAGTTAAAAACGTATTTTTCATGCTTCTAAAGTATGGTAGTGAATCATTTCTTGAAATATAATGGTTACGGCGTTCAGAAGAGAGAGAGAGAGAAGAGAGAGAGGAGATGAGAGAGAGAGAGGAGAGCGAGAGAGAAGAGGAGAAGGTGGGGAGGGGAGAGGAGACGAGGAGAGAGAGAGGAGAGAAATGAGAGAGAGAGAGAGAGAGAGAGAATGTGTGGTTTTGTTAGGTCGGTGATTAATTTGTGTGTGGTGTGGAGGTGGTGCCACCAGTTGTGTTAGTGGTGTGGCGCTGACACCTGCATGAGTATATATCAGCACACAGGCGCACAATCACTGAGATGTCCCGGCGCATTACAAGACTTCATTACAAGGGACTGTGTAGACGCAGGTGTTGTGTAGAAGGTGAGAGTCTGCCAGGCATTGGCATTGATTTGACTAACTGTAAATAACGCATTACCACTTAGTTTTTGCTGTGTGTGATCTAATTTATGTCTGTATAAATAACTCGTTAGGAATGCAACCAGATATAAATATGCAAATAGTTCATTATCAATGTACCAATGTAACTTGTTCAACTATCAAAACTTTGCGGTCCAATCCCTGGAGCCATTATGTGCCTCTGCAATATTTTGACTACCACCCACACCATGGGTATGAGGTGCATAATAAATATATTAACTAACTTGACCAACAACCTAAGAGAGAAACACGTAAGAAATGACCATAAAACTAATGGAAATCGGAACATTTTGGTATCACTCCCACAACCTTAAAATTTTAGTGTCCTCACTTTCATTTTTGTGATCATTCTTTTGTGTAAATTGCAAAGTCAACCACCCCCCCTCCCCCCAAAAAAAATTCATTCGTTTCCAATAGTGTTTGAGAAGAGTTCTACGCGTTACTTTTAAGTTCCATACGTTTAAAACATACCCCCGGCCGGGATTGAACCCGGTCTTAGATTCTCTATGACCGCGGGTTCATCCGGCCGGGGGTATGGTTTTATTTGCAATCGTGTGTCACATTACGATTTCTTAAGTTCATACGTTTAACTCATTGATTATAGATTAAGGTCACTCAGATAAAGCACTACACAATGTTGAGGTGTATGTTGCAGCTGTGTATATAAACTTGGTAAATGGAGTATATGCTGGACAATTTATTTAAATCCCAAGGGGTATTTAAGGATAAAACAATCTCGAGTAAACTGGGATTCATTTTTACTGACATTTGCCGTATTTTGGATTTTAAGCCTAATAAAATCCATGATTTAACCTAATAAATCAGTTGATTTAGACAAAATGAGATGAACTCGTTCACTTTTAGTCTCAAAAAATATTTTAAAAATGGATTAGAAAATATAAAATCTAAACCCAAATTTCGTAGTAACCTGTCGTTTGGATGCAGGGGTCGAGTCTCTGATCCTCTCAGTCTTTTAATTGTCGCTTGATTAATTCACTCACCCCGTTACCGGTTCATCTTTGTGTGTTGGATGGAGAGGAGAATTAGATTAGTAAAATGGTCAATAGCAAGAACTCATTTAAATTTAAGTCCTTTCTAAAAAGTGTCTCTCTGTTAATGTTAAAAATTACTAAATTTGGTTACCAAGAGCCTTGAAAACTTAACTAACCATATTACACAAGTGCAATTTAATTTAGCCTAATCCCGCCAAGTCAGTGTGAAATTGTGACCTAGAATATGTACAGGAGAACCCTTCACGGCGGCATAAACGGAGATAAAACCACCTCAATTACTGGGAGCGCTTGAGGTTCCTGAACTGTATTCATGGGAACGCAGGCGGGGAGAGATAATGATTATATAAACTGGAAAATCCTAGAGTGGACTAAGTACCGAACTTTGACACACGGAAAAATCATCAATACCGAAGCAAAAGATTGGGGCAGACGTTGCAACATCCCCCCAATGAAAAGAAGGGGGGTTTCACTAGACGTTAAGAGACCATACAATAAGTGTCAGGGGCCCGAGACTGTTCAACTGCATCCCAGCATACATAAGGGGGATTACCAATAGATCCCTGGCAGTCTTCAAGCTGGCACTGGACAAGCACCTAAAGTGGGTACCTGACCATCCGGGCTGTGGCTCGTACGTTGGTTTGCGTGCAGCCAGCAGTAACAGCCTGGTTGATCAGGCACTGATCCACCAGTAGGCCTGGTCACAGACCGGGCCGCGGGGGCGTTGACCCCCGGAACTCTCTCCAGGTAAACTCCAGGTAATAATTTAATAATAAACAAACACAATGAAATATGTCGTTTTTCGTTAGGTTTAGAATGATTTTTGCGAAATTATTGCATACACAAATTTTCGCTTGCCTTTATATTGCTTTTGTTTTTTTTTTTTTTTATAGTCCTTGTGGCTTAGCGCTTCTTTTGGATTATAATAATAATAATAATAATCGCTTGCCTTATTCGGCACAGAAGAACGTTGCTATTTAAGCCAAAATCGTAAGTTTTACATATTCGGCATCTTAGTATGAACTATGAATAATCGTAATTCATACTATAATGTCCGGAGTTTATAAATAAAGCTGAAGACTGAAAACAATGTAACTTGGCTGACCTTTCACTGTAGAGATGGTTGGTCACTACCACTGTAGAGACTGACTGTGGCCAGAACCATGGTCTGGGACCGAGTGAACAAGTCAGTGGAACTCACGTGTAGGGTTTGGTTTGATTGGCTAGTTTGAAGTTTCAATCCTATCAGCTACACGAGAGCTATTAAGGCTGCATGTCACTTGTTCACCACCAGTTAACAATATCATGCCTGGAGGTGTATACACACACCTCGGAATATAGTTGGTTTGCCTAATGATCTGTTATTACTGACAGAAGCGCTGTACCCGTAGGGAAACAAAAGGGTAATCAAGCTTAATCTGAGGACAGGTACCTCCAGTTCCTTAAATCAAGAGCTTTTAACCATAATTAAGATACACCTTTTCAAGTGTCCAGTATTACTGCACCAGGAAAATCACCAGGGATAGGATAGGCCTACACAGGACAATAAAAATGAGGTCAACTAGAAACTACAGTAAAGAAACACTGGTAAATAGGCTACACAATTGTGACTGGACAGAGATAAGTTGCACGGACGTAAACGATGCCTGGGAAAAATTCAAAACAATGTTCACTACCATCCTTGATAATATTGCACCAGTTAAAGAGGTTAGGATTAAACGAAGAACTGAACACCTGGATTGGGGGATGATTACTGAGATAAATTAGATATATGAAATTCAGAGACCGCTGCTAAAAGGGTTTTTAAAGCAACTACAGGATTGCAGCACTACAATGAAATTCAAAGGGTGAGAACAGAGTACAGAGACTTATAAAGGAGCAAAGAAAGCACTATTGCTCAAAAAAGTGCAGAGTATTAAGGCATAACCCCAGAGAAAGTCTGCCACAACTAAAACAGTTGGGGTTATAGCAAGACGCCAGTTAGAATAGGTTAAACAAGTACTACATATTGTAAACGAGAAGCTAGATGCCAATAGATACATCTAAGGTGGCAATTGCTATCACATCCATCACTACAATCTGCCTCTTGCACTCAACATCTTGTTAATGTAAACTACCAGCTGCATCAAACGCTCTTTACTCACCTACTCATCGCTCTTGCATAAGTTTCAAACATATATACCAATAAAGGGGTAACCCCACAGTTGTTCAACTAGTAGTGTATCTCATGACTTCATTCAAAAAAGAAATTTAGTAGTTAAACCCAGCTAAGAGCACAGGCTCCTAGATAATATCCGTCTCAGTCCTAAGATTGGTGCTTCTGAACTGTCAATCCTATTGCTCACATAATAGAATCTATCAGTCACACTAATACCGTACCGGAGGGGTTCAAAGGAGGCAGAGTTACTCTATCTTCAAGAAAAATCATAGGTCTGATGTAAGCAACTATAGAGCTGTTAGTATACTCAGTATATATCTATAATTTTGGAGAGGGCGGTGGTATTCTCAAGTAGTGAAGTCATAATGACAACAGTTTTCTCCATAGCTATCAATCGGGCTTAGAAGATCCTACTCAACGACACCTCCCTTATAATCTGATGGATTACTGAAAAACTGAAAAATGTCAAAGGGGAACTCATAGTTTGTAACTTAGCCCTGCATAAGGCTTCATACTGTCAACCACAATATATTATGTAGAAACTTCAAGCTATCGGTATAGGTTCTGTAGAATGTTTTAAGTCCCTACCTTAGCAACGGAGACAATCAGTAAAAATCACAAAAACGGAATCGAACCCCTGACGATACGTGTGGAGTTCCCCAAGGTAGTATTCTGGGTCCCTTATTATTCTTCATGTTATGGTCAATGATATGCCTATCAGTGGTCAATGGCAAACTCCTCTGTATGCAGATGAAGTGCTCTGTTAGTGTCAAGGTAAAGACCCACAAGATATAGCCTATGGTTTTCTACACTGAATCTGGAGTCCTGCAGCAATATGGTTTAGTAGACAACAAACTATCATTACACCTAGGGCAAAACTGAAGCCATTTCTGTGGCCGAAACAAACTGAGAAGGTAAATAATTTAATGTCAGTGTTAATGGGGAGCCCATCACTTTGGTTTCATCGTAAAAATATCTGGAAATCCCCTTTGACCCTCCATGCATGTCTGCGAGAATTGATGGGAACAGTGTATAGTAAAGAAAGCGACTGCCAGATCTGAAGTTCCTGTATAGACAAGCACAGAGTTTACCTACTGAGGCTCGAGGACCCTATGTCTAGCCCTTATTACATGCATATGGATTACGCTTGTCTTCATGGTACTCTGCCTTGACAAAAAAAACTGAAAGATAGAACTGCAAATCACCCAGAACACAATCGTAAGATTAAGATTCATCCTGGGGTGGGACCAAGAGAACTGTAGTCCAGGATGAATTACAGCAGTTGGATATGCTGAATGTTGAAGACAGAGTAAAACAACTCGAAGCTAAATCATGTTTATTAAAATTGCTCACAAAACAATGTCCAGAATATCTGGCTGTCAATTTTGTCAAGGCTGGGAACCAAAGCATATTCTTAGTATAGGGGGAGAGAGCCAACTTTGTAGTACCCACAGTCAG